AAAAATATTCATACTCTATATAAATGCTGTCCTCATCTTCTAAGAAGATAGTTTGCACCTGCTTTGAACTTCTCTGTGCTGCTGAAACTTTGCAGTCAGAAATGCTTACTCAACAAAACTACTTCAGGCCTTGTTCGGTTCAGGATTATTGACGGGGAAAACACACTATCACACACACACACTCTCACAGCCTGCCTGTAGTTAATGTATGACCGAACGCCAGGTCCGCTGACCGGCTGCACACTGAGCCTGCTTTGATCCGACCTATTGTAAACAGTGAATGCTGGCCTTAGCCTAGTGCTTGGGCCAGAGGTTATCACGACACACTCACACACACACACGCACACACGCCCACGGACACACACTCTGACACACACTGGAGAGTGATAAAGTCTTCAGTGAGGTGGGTGGAGAGACGCCTTATCTGTCTCCAGTGGCCAAACATGCGGCTGGCTGTCAGTGACCCGAGGCCAGGTAAACAGACCTGGAGCTGATAACAGCTGTGAGGGGCTGAATGAGGACCAGAATGTGGATGAGCTCGGCCAAACTGGAGAGCTCTAGTCCCAGGGGTTAGAACGATGGCACTGTGATTCTGCTAAGCTTTGCAGCCGTTCAGCATCAGGTGTGATTCCAGTGATTCCTTTATCAAGGCCAATGGCATCAGTGCGTTTATACGTAACTGGGCTGCTACTGGCTTTACTGTAAGAACCTCATTTCAAACCACGTAGGACGTTAAAGAAACCTAGGTTGGTTTCTGAATTTTGGTAAAGTAGTAAAACTACACAAAGAAGCAGTTTGTATCACTAATATGCTTAAAATAATAAGTAATAGTAATAGTAATAGAAATTTGTTCCCTGATGAGTCAACAGTTTGTCCAATCTCTAAAAAAATCTCTGCACCCGGCGGCTCCACCTTTCAATTGAAAAGTGGATTACATGCCGTCGCTTCTTTACCGAGAACCTCCCGTCGTGTTGTGCATGTGTGAAGCGCAAACTATGGATAAACTCCTGCCAATTCTCTGGATTTCACCCGGAGGTCATGTTTGAAAACGGCTTCATTGTAACTTATTGGCACGAAATATAAACTTCTGACCGCTTCAGTCCTAGAATGTTAAAATATCGGAATATCCTTATAAATTCACAAACCCAAACTTCTTATTTTAAAGCCGTCACTGTTATCTCTGCTACTATTTCTGGTTTTAACTGATCAAAAGTTGGAATTTATAGATTCAATTCATGGTCTTGGCGATTTGGTATTTATTAGTCAAAATTAGTCTCGTTCATTTATGAAATGTTGACCAAACCAAAATCTGCCCTACTGAAAGTAAACTGTCAAACAATATGAAGCAAAGCATCAAAGCTGCAGACAACCACGAAATCCCAGTTTGACTTTCCTCGTTATTGATTACATCCCTATCCACGCTGTGTTGCAGGCACTTGAGTTTAGTTTGCCCGTGTCTGTCTTTCCGTCTGTCCATCGTTGTCACATTCTTGTTCTGGTCTGTTGAACAGAGCTGGTGTCACAGACATAGCTGGGCACATTAAACACGCCTCCTTGGCATCACCCTGACTGTCAAGGATGCCATCGGGAAACACGGTCTACAAAGTCTTCCAGCTTCTCCGGAATGCTACCTCCACACCGACGCACGCCTGTGACTGAATGCACTTACATTCCACCTTTTAAAGATAACATTTGGCCACTGTTTTATATCCTGCATGGCAACGCTATGACTGTACAATCACAGCCGTCCTTCGGGTAAACCCCCTGCCTGATAATTCAACACTAAAGTCAACTCATCCATTTACAGTGGGAGCTCTGACAGGTCAATTATGGCCAATTACGGAGCACACAAAGTAGCCCTTTCTCATCCCCAAGGCTTCGCTAATCTGCCACAGCAGAGGTCAGGCCTCCTCTTTCACTCATCTTTGTGAAGTAAAGTAACTGTCTGGTATGCAGAGGATACCCCATTAACTGTCATTGCTGGGGACAATTACCTCGTCTGACCTGGCAAAAGATTAGAAAGGCCCGCAGGTACAGAGCTGTCTGTCTGACCGCAGGACTGTCTTACTGGCTGAAGAGGCTGAGGAGACATTCCTTATCTTCACTTTCTCCTGGACCTTTTCCCTTCATTTTTCTCCAGTCCCGTCCACTTTTAAGCCGTCTCTTTAATGTCGAAAGATGGATGCTGTTCACATCAGCGGTATGTCACCTCGGTCCTTTGTGCTTTTTCATTTTCTCTCTCCCGCTCTCCTTTGCTTGTGTTGTCTCTCGCAGCCTATCTGTCTGGTTTCCTGCATGTCAAACATGCACAGAGAGATCCTATCTTCCCAAGTGTCTGCTCCCAAACCAACAAAGGACGCCAGCAGCTCTTTAGTTTTTCTTAGCCATCTATTGTACTACCAAACAAGCTCACAGCACATTATCACCTTTGCCAAAAGCTATTGTCCAATCCTCCCACACTGGTTAACTTTTGTCATGCACTCCGAACAATGTGTTTATCTGTGTGATAAACACTAAAGTTCGATGCTGTTTATTCCCATTGTGCATATTTCTCTGTGTTGAGTAGTGAAGAAAATGATACGGTAAGGTTTGTGCCTGATTTCAAATACTTCACTTCTGGACAACATGGCGGTGTGGAGAAGCTAAATGGAGCTGCCAAAACCAAATCTGGACCAAACATGTGAGCATAAGGGAGCATGTCGAAGGCTGGTTACAATTGTACTGCCAGGGAAAGTGTAGTCATCTATACTGGAATTTGCAAACAATGAGTTGAAACCTAGCTCGGAATTATAATCCCAGACTCTTGTGGTTTCCTTTCAGATGCTTATTTGTAGAACATGCATTGCATTTGTCTTTCTTACACGTTTTTACTAAATCTCATTGGTTGTAAACGAGAACTTTAACATCAACAAGTTCAGGCAATGGATCTTCAGTTAAGGAGTGTCAGTTCTGCACGTTCTCTCTCTCATCCTCCTCCTATAGCCACCCTCTGTCCTCTGATCTCTGTACCTGTTCTGTCTCTGTCCAGGTCCAGGACATCTGTTTCAGCCCAGACAGTCGCTGGGTAGCAATCAGCACCCTTCGCGGCACAACCCACGTCTTTCCCATCAACCCCTACGGTGGTGCACCCTGTGCACGGACACACATGTCCCCGCGGGTTGTCAACCGGATGTCTCGCTTTCAAAAGAGTGCCGGCCTGGAGGAGATTGAGCAGGAGCTGAACAGGGCGGCTGCGCTAGGAGGAGGCATCGGAGGAGGTGGTTGTATCCTGGGCGGAGGAGGAGGCATAGGGGGACGCTGTAGTCCCATACCAGGCCTGTCCAGCAGCCCCTCTGGGTCTCCACTGCACGGTGGGTTTACTGATGTTGTGTGTCTCTAGAATCTTGAATTATGGAAAGAAAAATAGAAAGATTATGGAAAAAGTGATTTTCAGTCCTGATGTTACCAAACTAGCGAAAGACAACAACGACTGCACCTCCTCATAATTTGCAAAATACTCCCCGTGGTCATTTAGCTGTGACAGTAGAGTCATCACCTAATTTCACACATTGACTCTGTGAAATATATATTTTCAAATATGTTCAGCGGGGATTCATGTGTTCAGAACAACCGATGGTCAAATATAAACATTTAAAAGTTTCATCAACTGATTTCAGACATGCAGAAATCGTATTGGAGACACTGATATCTTGGCCTTGTTGTGCTGAACATTAACTTGGCTGTTCGCCAGATTCATTCATGGTTTATTGGGTCATAAAAAGTCAGAAGCTAGCGTGAATTGTCTCATTGTAATTCAGGAGCCTCAGGTGACGCATTGTGATGGTTGACAACATCTGACTAACAGTCCTCATTGGAGAGATTAGCAGCAATGATATGGAACCGACACTAGACTTGTTATGAAACTGAAAAAAACCTTTTCAAATGAATTATTCACAGTTGTATTAATACAGTTCTGGATCCAAGGCTCAGATTTATTATCACCAGCTGACAGTTCAGATCCACCATAACTTCACACCGTCAATAGAGTCATTGAAAGCATTTATTTTGAGTTGGTCTAGTTCGTACGTTGTAAACGAGAGTCTTTATGTATGTGTAGCTCTATTTAGTGTACAGTCATCTCACCAGCGTGTGTGTGTCTGTGCGAGTGTGTGTGTGTTTCCAGTGACTGGTAATCTCAGTAGCTCTTTTCCAGGGACTCTGATCTGTCTGCCACAACCTTGTTTGTCAAACACCATTGCAGGCAGCTCGCACTGTCTGTGTGTCCCTAGCTGACATAGACACACACACACTGGTAAACACACACTTTGTGTCAGCTGCACCGCTTGACCCCAGAGGTGTTACTCAGTGTAAAATATCACAGTTCTCATTAATCACGGGTTTCCAAGAAAATCCCTGAGCTTTGGTAGGGTCAGGTGGAGAACTTGATAAACACTTCACAGAACCAAATAACTGGAATTTGACCAGACGCCGATTTAACATATTGTAGTAGAATATATTCTTAAGCTTTTTTCTATGTTTTACAGAAGTGGAAATTAGATTTCTAACTCTCGCTCTAACAATTCAGAGTGAGAGTGTCAGAAAAGGTTTTTATTATTTAGATGAGTTTCAAAACCACTGCTGGTGCTGTGTAAGAAAACAAATTACTGTTCTGGTTTTTTTTTTGCAATATGAAATAATCGTGATAGAAAACTTTGTATGACCAAAATATACTTTTCCCATGAGCTGTTCTCAGGCTGGAAGGGTTCACACGGGCCCAAATAGGTGACAGAAGATGCTGGGATCAGGGTGGGGTCAGGGTCAAGTCATATTGTTATTGCCTGCCCCCAGAATTTGCCCTGCACCCCCCCCGCCACATACACATACACACTCTTGAAAAATGGCACCCCCGCTTCCTATTTCCTTCCTGTCTTCCTTGTCTAGACCCAAACCCTTCTGTAACCCCGACACTAAAACACACACACACACACATTCCTCCACACTGCGAGTGAAAAATAGGCCATCAAACATTAAAAGGATGTCTGACTTTGGAGCGTCACCGCTCTGTGATGAGAGACGGAGAGGGACAGGTACATCAAAGTGGTATAGGAGGTGAAAGTGAGTGAGCAAAGTAATGAGGTGCAATTGAGAAAAATGAAGGAGAGATAGAGCAGGCGAAGGGGAGGAGGGCGGCAGGCCCAGGGAGAGAAAGATAAGTTTGTAGTAGCAGCGCTGAAAGCCAGGGTCTCGAGGAGCGTGGTCGTAAATCACACTTTTGTTTCAAAGGAGGGCATTAGGGCCACCTGTCAACAATTAGTCCTCACAGTGATACCTCACTGAGTGCGTGTGCATGTGCGTGTGTGTGTGTGTACGTACACTCGATGTGGATAAACGATCTATGAGACTTTTAATGTTTTTAATGTTCAAATCTGAAAAGGCTCAAATCAAAGATCACAGTTGTAGTAGCAGTGGCGAAGAGTTGTTTGGACTCTTCAGGAGCAAATTGAAGGTTTTCATAACTCTTAATATCTTGCAGTGTATCGTGTAGTCCACAGGAAATTGAAGTCAGGTTTCACACCGCTTTCATCCAGGTGTTAATTCAAACCATACGGACACTACCTCACTGATAAAAAGTCCCTTACTGTGTGAACTATGAGGCATAGTTCACATGTTGTGTACTCGTAGTGTTACAGTCTCATGTATTAATCCCCCCCCCCCCCGTGTCTAAAGTTCAACATGTTACACTGACCGTGGTTTTTTTTAGTAAAATGAGACTCTAACATGACAAAATACATGTTTCTGAAAGCACCTGCTCATTAAAAAAAGCTCCTTACCACAGAAACGAACAGAATAAAGTGTGATTCAGGGCTTGTGTTTAATGTTTAATATAGTATAGCTGATCCGTGCATTATGGAAGTGTAGTTCAATAAAAGGTTTATTAGTATAAGCTCTAGGTTTAGCTGATAAACTGCCAAGTTGGTAAAAGAAGACCAGGGTAAGAAAATTCAAAGCTCAGTTTCTTGTCTTTTAATTAATTCTGAATCTAGGACGTAATGAGTCATGAATTCCACAATTTACGCAGCAACGAGCTTGTAATGTACACACAGGTTTTCACAACCCTCCGACCTTTATGACTCACTTCTCCCTGCAAGTTAGGGACACTAAAAGTTTATTCGAACGTGACCTGCACGTAAAATCCGGAGAATTGGGTCCAGACTTAATCCGCAGTTTGCTTTTCACACATGCACGACGCAGCGGGAGGTTCTCTGCACAGACACTTTCAGCAGACAGAGGCAGGAAGTAACATATTTCTTCCGCTGCAGGGATCACGGGATGTTATTTACAGCACTTCTACACCAGCGTCGCAGCGTCCCGTCCCCTCATAGCTTTATGTGTAATGCATCAAAGCATGGATCTGTTATTATGGCCTTTACACAAAGTGTAAATCCTGCTCGGAGTTTTGTTTCGTTGAAATTGGTGCGATTTGTTTTTTAAGCCTTTTAGTTCGTTTTATATATATTTTACATTTTTACATTCACAGAGTGTATTGTGGAGTAAAAAAAGTGCAGTAATCTAAAGCCAAAAGAAAGATTTGTCGTGCGTCGGATAATAAATTAAACTCTTACCAACCAAAACAAGATGATTGTCACCCTCAAGAGCAGCCATATATTTACACGGAGCAACAGTAAGAAGAGGCACACAGCACAGTGGGTCATTAACAGTTCACCAGGGAGCTCTGTGAGGGGTTAGGTCATGTAGGTCTCCTGGTGTCTGTTATTTGGAAGATAAATCGGCTCCAACACATCCTGCCACATGTAAATTTAGAAATGCACCAGCCCTCCACTGCTGCCGCCACCAGCATTGATAAAAACTCCATAATTTGAGCAGTTTTCACCGGATGCAAAACACACTGGAGTCGCATTTGCTTTTGTTTTCCGGCTTCCGCTGGTTTTTGCGAGTCGGGTGTGAATTTTGGGCAGTGAGGGCGGTTTTGTGTGGCTGGCAGAGAGCGGGCAGGGTGAGGCAAGCCGGGGGCCGGGCCACCTAGCCACAACAGCTGCTCTGTGATTGTCGCCAGTGAGGACAGCATTGATTTTTGGGAAGGAACTGTAGAAAAGTACACATCCTTCTCAAAGCTGCCAGCCCAGGCCGCCGGCACACCTAAAAATAGAGGCTGCAATTGGCCGTCTTCTTGTCACTGTTAAAATCTGCAAAGGCTATTTGCGTCCCTTTTCTCTCCCAACTTCTTTTTCCTCCAGGCTTTTCCTCTGTGTGATCAATGTATTGTGATTTGAGGTGATGACCCATAATGTGAACGTCCCACACTGTAAAATGTGGTTTGTCTGCGGCCCAGTGCATACAATGCTAAATTAGTGAGTGCAGTTTCTCTGCACAGGGCAGAGGTTATTGAGGCTATAGCAGGCACATGGCAGCCACTGTAGAGTTTTATTATTCAGATGTTTTTCAGATCCAGCCACAGCACTGTATAATGCTGCTCTCTGCACTGCACACAGGTTTTCAGCAACTTGATCATAATAATCTAAAAACCATCTTTGATTCTTCACTTGACCTGAGTTCATATTTCGCTCTCGAGGGCTCCACTTTGCCCTTGAGTGCTGTCGTCGGATGTGAAACTTTTATCTGCTGATTTTTTTCAAACCTGCGTTGTGAGGGACCGTTAAATTCTGTCCTTTTCTGGGACACCTCTATGTACGGCAGTTCTGACGTTTGGCGTAAATGTCCCATGTGGCGTTTTTCAACATGCATGGGTGACTTTTGTGTGTACACACGGCGCTGGTCACACACTTCCCAACTGTAAAACATCAACACGAAGCTATTAGTCAGTGCAACAGATTTGTTTCCTCACCGAGCTGAAGCCCTGGTGGTCCGATCATAGGGCCATCTGGGCCCTGGCGCTGGTTCAGAGAGAGGGGGAGGCAGAAAACAAGGTGTGACGGGAAACTGTTAATTCACATGTTGATAAAGGGACACTTCCTTTCTGCTATTAGAGGCTGACGGCTTGCTTATTTGGGTTTGGACTTTTGTTTTATCTCGCCTCCCTCCTCCCACCAACGCTCCCCTTCGTCAGTCATCGTCCTGTGGTGAAAAACACCAATGCTGTGCTGTGGTCGATGCCAAGGAAACATTACCTCATAACTGCTGGCGTGTGACACGTATGTACTTGGCCTCGCTCTGACCTTGTTTTTGACAGTATAGTTACTGTAAGTTAAACAGTTACAGAGCACGGTCAGAGATGTTGAAATGTTTCACACAGACACTGGATGGCTTCAGCAGAGCAGTTTAGCATGTTTTAATTTCACACATGTGTAAACAGTATGAAACTGCGAGATCGATGACTCGTTCAGATTTCAGT